CCCTGTCCCCTCGGATCACTCGCCGCTTCCGCCGCCCCCCTCTTCAAGTACATTATCTAACGCCGCAGCCATGGAGCCGTTCCCCGGGGCCTTATCGGATCTTGCGGAGGCTATGGCACAGGGTCGGCGTGAAGCATGGGCGGCGCTAGCAAGGCAGGGTCTGCAAGAGGGAGATACAGAATTGGCGGCAGCAGCTCAGGAGCAAATAGCCTCCCCACTTGCCTTTCCCGCGATATTTCACCCTTTGCAGGGGTGGGCCAACGAGCTGAAGTTACGCAGCTTGATTGGAAACTTTTGTCTCAATTAAGATCAACGGTGGCACAATTTGGAGTCACTAGTGAGCCCGCGAAACAGATGATCAAGTACCTCTTTAATTCAGCTGTCCTGCTGCCCGCTGACATTAGAGGAATGTCTCACCTCATTTACACCCCTCATCAAAGGCTTATGTTTGAAACCCGGTGGAGGGAGGAAGCGGCCGCAAGCGCTGCACTTCCTCGGCCTGCTGGTGACCCTCTCGCAGGGATCACTGTAGATGAACTTATGGGCAATGGAGCCCACATTCGTTTAGAGCAACAGGCGGCCTTGGGGGGGGAAAAGCTGAGAGAGGCTATGGCAGTTGCAAAAAGAGCTATGGATAAGATCAGGGCACCTGGGGGTATTCCCATGTATATGGGGAATAAGCAAGGTAGAGATGAAGCCCTTGGCTCCTTTGTGGACAAAATTATTGAAGCTCTGGCCAAAGCAGGTATAGCTAAGCATATGCAAGATGCGTTAGTAAAGCAGTGCATATTACGAAATGGAAATGCTACAACTCGATCCTTAATAGCCACAGCACCAGGACATTGGAATGTCCAAGATTTGTTAGATAAGGCTGCAGCCATGCCAAGTGGCACTCAGGTGTTCATGGTAGAAGCTCTGCAGAAGATAGGAGAAGGACTGCAGCACCAGGCACAAGCTTTTAAGGAGCAAACTTTAGCAGCCCAGAGTCAGATTTTAGCTGCCCTTGCACCCCTCCAAGCGACGATAGTGCAACAGCGCCCCGGTGTGGGGGGAAGAATGAAGTGCTTCAGATGTGGACGAATGGGACACATCCGCCGCGAATGCAATGCATCGGGAGTCTGGTGCGGAAAATGTCAATCCAGCACTCACAATAACACTGCCTGTCGTCGTGGGTCGGGAAACTCGAGAGCCAGCGCGAAACCGGGCCGCGCGGAGACACAAGTAGCCCCTGCCTCCGACAGCCGAGCGATCAACTTCTGCCAGCAAGCTCCGGCAGCCTCGGATTGGACCTGGCAGCAGCAGTAGACACCACACTCTACAATAATGCTCCACATACTATTCCTACCGGTATTCATGGACCACTGATTATTAATGGACAGCCAACTGGAGGACTGATTTTAGGCCGCTCCTCAGGGTCCGTTCTGGGCCTTTCCATCGAACCAGGGGTAGTTGATGCTGATACTGAAGGAGAACTTTTCATCATTGTTAGTACCCAGTTCCCTCCGCTTACCATTCCAAAAGGGCAAAGAATTGCGCAGTTTGTGCCTTTACCACACTTGACTGTTAACATACCGCCTCGATCCACTGAACCACGTCGGACAAAATGTCTTGGTTCTTCAGGGAGCATTGCTCTGCCTGTCATTGACCTCGCCACACGACCAAAGAAAGCCTGCCATCTCCGTTATCAAGGGCAGACCATTACCCTTGAAAAGGCCCTGCTAGATACTGGAGCAGATACTTGTATTATTGACACTAATAAATATCCTAAAATGTGGCCCCTTTTATCAGCCAATACTACAGTCTCCGGTATAGGAGGAATCCGACTTGCTAAACGTTCCCCATTGATCACCGCAGAAATTGAAGGAAAACAGGCAACAACAATTTTTTCACTGACCCTGCTCCCACCGGAGGTCGATTGCATTATTGGAAGAGACGTTTTGTCGCAATTAGGGTATGTACTCACAGATTCCCCTTTATCATGGCAGCCATTGCTTGGACATTCCCTCTACCATTAACATGGATCTCTGATACACCTGTGGTAGTTAAGCAATGGCCCTTAAAAAGGGAAAATCTTGAACAAGCGCATCGCTTAGTGGCAGAACAACTACAACTAAAACATCTCAAACCTGCTACAAGTCCCTGGAACACGCCTGTTTTTGTCATTAAGAAAAGGTCAGGCAACTACCGTTTATTACAGGACTTGCGTGCAGTTAATCAGCAGATGGAGCCCATGGGAGCCTTACAACCTGGTCTCCCTAACCCAGCCATGATACCCCAAGATTGGCTTATTCTTATTGTAGACCTGAAAGACTGTTTTTTCACAATACCCCTGCACCCCCAAGACACAAAAAGGTTTGCATTTACATTGCCTTCCTTAAATAGAGGAGAACCAGGCAAGCGATTTGAATGGATAACATTACCCCAAGGCATGCAAAATTCACCCACTTTGTGTCAGCTGTACGTTGATACAGCATTGCAGCCTATTAGGCAATCAATGCCAGACACTATCATTTATCATTACATGGATGATATACTATTTGCTCAGAAATCTCCATTTACGACAGAACAAGTGCGTGCTGTTATCACTCTGTTGCAGAAATATGGTCTCAAAGTTTCCGAGGAAAAACTTCAAGTGCAGCCGCCGTGGAAATACCTA